TATTTTCTTTTTTTTTTTTTTTTTTTTTCTTTCTTTTAAAAGATGACCGGTAAGGGGATCTTAACCCTTGACTTGGTGTTGTCAGCACTACGCTCACCCAGTGAGCTAACCGGCCATCCCTATATGGGATCCGAACCCGTGGCCTTGGTGTTATCAGCACCGCACTCTCCCGAGTGAGCCACGGGCCGGCCCCTACCTTTTGTATTTTGTATTACTGCCATAACACTGTCACAAATGCAGTGTCTTACAACATCTTCTGTTTATTATTTTACAGTTCTGTAGGTCAGAAGTCCTAGGTGGCTCAGCCGGTTTCTTTGTTTCAGATTTCGTGAGGCTAGAATTGAGGTGTTGGCAGGGCTATGTTCTGTTCTAGAGGTTCTGGGAATGCACTGTCACAAATGCAGTGTCTTACAACATCTTCTGTTTATTATTTTACAGTTCTGTAAGTCAGAAGTCCTAGGTGGCTCAGCCGGTTTCTTTGTTTCAGAATTCGTGAGGCTAGAATTGAGGTGTTGGCAGGGCTATGTTCTGTTCTAGAGGTTCTGGGAATGAATCTTCTTCCAAGCTCATTCATGTTGTTGGCTAAATTGTTGCAGTTGTAGGACTGAGATCCCTTTTTCTCTGCTGGATGTTGGCCAGGGTCACTCTCAGCTTCTAGAGACCACCCACATTCCTAGGCTCCTGGTCCCTCTTCCTCCATCTCCAAAGCCAGCAGTGGCTGGTCAGGTTTTTCTCACACTGTATCTCTGACTGCTGCATCTTTCTAACTTCCGCCAGAGACATTTCTCTGGTTTTAAGGGCTCAAGTGATTAGATTGTACCCACCAGCAATAGATAATGTATTTAAGCTGACTCAGTAACCCTGGGCCCAATCCAGGGTGATATCCCTATCTTAAGGTCTATACACTTATTTACAGCCACATAGTCGCTTCACAGCAATACCTGGATTAGTGTTGGACTGAATAACCGAGACATCAATTGAGGGAGGACATCTTTAGAATTCTGCCTACCACTTCTATTTAACATGTGTACCATCATTTCTTGGTGTTCACACTATTCAGAGATTGGAATCCTCTTTGAGGCAGAGAATGAAGTCATCACACAATTCAGTTCTGCTATATTTGTAAGAGGGGGAGGGGTGCGAAAGGAAAAAACATGGAGCTAACTGCTGTTATTACATTTTATCTCAGTCTTCATCACAGCCCTATTAGGTGGGTATTTGTTGCCTCTTTTGAAAAATGGAACTGAAGCTCTAGAAAATGACTGCGTGGAACTCTGAACCCACCTTTTTGTCCCATCATTTAGCTTTCTGTCTGCATCAGCCACTGACCCCAGGACAGAAGGCACCAGTTCAAGCCTTAAGGGAATTTTGAGAGTGGAGTGGATTGTGAGGAGAACTAGCACTCACTTCCTTTGTTGGTCTTGGTTGGAGACAGTAAAAGGAACCCTATGTCAAGGAAAGGAGTTTACAGGATTAAATCATGGCTTCCATACCCACTCTCATCCAGCCTCCCAGCTTATGATTATGTGTCTTTCAGTTGTCAGAGCTTTCCAATTCAGCATCACCTACAGCTTGATCTCTCTGGGACCCAGGCCAGCTCCCTGTCTGCCTGCCAGCCAGTCGATGGGTCTCAATGTTTGTTAGTAGTAATGACGGGCAGGAAGCAAGCAGAAGTGCTACGTTAGGGCCAAGTGTTCAGTCCCACAGTGTCTCATTTCCAGTGACCAGTCATGGCTTACTGGCCCTTGGGGGTGAGTCAGGCCTTGCCCTGCTGCCCCCATCACTGTTGGATTAATGGGAAAAGCGACATCTATCTAGTACACCTGCCTTTTCAGGAATCCTGGGTGACAGTTGAAATGACTAAAGCACATTAAAAAGTGTTCCGTAATTGTCTCTCATGGTCTCCCAACAAATGTGTGCCCCATCTGTTTTGAGCTCTGCATGACCTTTCCCAGAAGTCAACTGGCCCTGGCCTCATGTTGCCTGTCCCGGTTTATGAGTCCTATCTAATGATGGAGTAAATCTCTTTGTTCCTTTGACCTCTGACTTTAAGATGTCCTCCCACTTTTCCACCCCACAATCTCTAGCCCTCTCTGGGCACAGCAGCTAGTTTAGGAACTAGATTCTGTACTGCCTTTATCTTATTCCACAAAATGAACTTCTGCAAAGAAGCTGGAAATGAAGAAGGAAGTTTATCATGCAGACCAAGGGAAGAGTTTAGCAGATTATCTCCCTCCTAAAAAGTGCAACCAGAATCATCAACAATGTATTGGCTCAAAAACATGCTGGAGAAAAAGGAATCAGTGTTTGGTGGTTGGAGCGGAAGGAGCCAAGCTGCCCAGAGTGTATCCTGTGAAGGCTGCAAGGAGGAGATAAGGGCAACCCCAGAGGCAGACAGCACAGAGAAGAGCAGGGTGAGGGGGAACTGCAGATCTACCCAAAGAAACATGAGAGAATGAGACCTGCTACCCAGGGAATGTGGAAGCTCGCTTATCAACAGCTGTAAAATGGCTGAGCCAGAGGCCCCTTCACACTGTACTTCAGTGATGCTTTGATCCCTCCAACAGCCTGTAAACCTGCCTGTAACAAGGAGAAAATTAAAGAAATGAATCTGGGTAAATAGAAAATTAAGAAGAACTGGAAACAGCCAGCTCCTGTGGAGAGTGGGGATTGGAAGTTGTAGAGGGAGCTAATCCTGAGTGTCTGGAGGATCAGCAAAATCTAAGCAACAGTTTGAGGGGCTGGAAAGAATCTAGATCTGCAGAGACCCCTGACTTTATGGTTACTGGGGAGCATGAACTTTGGAGACCTAGTTTCAAGGATTCAAAATGATATGTGTAGAGCTAGGGCTGGGTCTGGAGCTTACCGACCCCACAAGCCCGTTGTCCAGACTGAGTCACAAACCCTTCACACGCAGGTCTATGAGTTAGGTAACTGGCAAAAAGGTCCTTGGAGCCTTGGTTGAAGTAGGTACAGTCTTTATGCAGCACACACACACGTCTAATACCTAGGCAGTCTAAAGAGACTCAGAAACTCGACTGCTACTGGCAAAGTCCAAAGAAAAACTGAGCAGCTGCCAGCAGAGTAAACGTTCTATTTTTAGATGTGAGCTCTGCCAGCCAGCTCTGCTTCACAAACTAAAGAACACACAATACCAACAAACTAAAAAGATACATGGGTGCACATGTGCACTAACTCCACTCACACACAACTTGTTTACAAGAAATGTGCTGCGCCACCCCCAACCGGACCTGGGTCGAGGGAGCCTGACTACACTGTTCTATTTTCCCCACAATATGGCTGCTTAACGTGTGGCTTAGTACAATAGTTTTCAAAGTATGGTCACCTGATGGGAGTGGGGGGACAACAGCATCAACTAGGAACTTAGCTATGCATATTCCCAGGCCTCACCCAGATGGACTGAGTCAGAAACTCTGGTAGTGGGGCCCAGCAACCTACAATTCTGCAACAGACTCAAGATTGAGAACCACTGGTTTAGTGCAAGAGGCTGCCAATTGGTATAAAATGTTACCTATGATCTATTATTTGGTCTCCAAGAGAGGTGAAGGATAAATAAGGTTTGTGGGCTAGTAAGTGGTTCTTATCTACAAGGTTGCAGCAGCTGGCTTCAGTTAACTCCAAAATGGCCCTATAAGCAAATACAAAGCAGAGGACAAAGATTAAATTGTATTAGCAACCTAGGAGCAGAAGGGCCAGACTGCTTTAAAATAAACAGCTAGAGGTTTACGAGGTTTTATTAATATTTAAATTGCAGTGAAACCACAGCTGCAGCCTTTGACTCCAGCATAGAGATATGCAAATATGGCTTTGAAAAAAAAAGGCAATTTCAGACAGCCCTCAAAGGTAACAAGAGCAAATAAAACAAATGATTTTGCAATTTATCTTTATTGACTGATGGTGTTCAAGGCACAAACAGCTCATACCCAGTGTGAGTCAGCAGTAGCCAAGCTTTCTGAGGGGAGAAGAGAAAGCTGGCCAGGAGGGAGAAAGGCAGGCAGACCCCATCGACTGGTGACAGGAAAGACCCAGGAAGATAACACAGGTGGTAGTGGGAGGAGACGATGACTAAATTAAAAGCGAAGGAAAATGGAAACCCAGCCCTGAGTTTTCTCGACCATCTGATATCGCCAGGTCTCAGGGGCAACAACAATAATAATCATTAATGACTAACATTTGCACACTCCTACTAAGTGTCACACACATTCCCCACATACAAATGAGGAAAATGAAGCTTGGAGAGGTCAAGCAACTTGCCCAAGGTCACACAACAGGAAGGGGCAGAGCCCAGACTCAACAATTTGTGTGAAGCTTAAGCCCATGCTCTTTCCAGAGCATTTTGCTGGGAACTGTCCTAGAAGGCAGTGAATAACAGTAAGATTAGTGATTGAGGGGAGATTACATGCCCAGTTCTGTGATAGCCTCTGTGTGTGTGTGTACTTGTCG